CTAGAAACAGATCTCACTATAAGCAGCATTCTCACAGCATCAGAACTTCGTAAAGTGAGAACACTAATTTACCGCACTTATACTACTGTATTTACATATCTTGCTCTCTAAAAGAGGACTATTATTGGGTTTAAAGGATTGTTTCAGAAAAATGCAACAAAATTACAGCACCTAAACCCGTGAACAAAGCAGGCTCTATGTCTAGAAAAGGGCCACAAGTTCTGGAAGTTTTGTACGACCTGACCCTTGGGGATTACAAAGAATTAGGAAAGGCACTCAAGAGCAGATAGTCAGGGAGAAGAGTCTCTGCACTTGCAAGTACAGTTAAATCAGAGATTCTGGTTCTGAAAAAAATACAGCCTCTGATCATGAGTGCATCAAGAAGTGATTCTGGTTGGCTGGGGACACTGATCCCTGGTACAGCACAAGGCTAGGGAGTGCATGGCTAGGTAGCATGCGAGCCAGAGAAGGAAAAGAGAAAGGGAGGGGAGAAGGCAGGAGAGGCAAAGAGGAAGGGAGGGTGCCATTATACCACTGACAAACTGATGTACTTTTTTTTTGAGACAGCATCTCCCTATGTTGTTCAGGTTGGCCTTGAACTCATTATGTAGCCCAGGCTGACCCTGAATTTGCAGTGATCCTCCTGCTTCAGCCTCCCAAGCATGTGCTACCATGCCTGGCAGAAAAAGTTTTAACTTCCCAAAGTTTACCTGGGAGTAGAAAGAAGGAATGTATGATGATAGCAGTAAGATATCTAGAATACCTACTAGGCAGAGAGAAAAGTCAATAAATTTTGTTTGGTTATTTCAAGTTCAGTCACAACAGATAATCTTTTAAGGAATCCATAACAGAATCATACACTGTCACTTCTCCCTGAAGCCAACATTACATTACTTTCTCAGATTTATTGTTATACATATATATTTAGGAGAAACGTCTAGTGACTATATTCTGCTTCTCTCCCATTCTCCTTAAGTACTTTATTTTTAATTACCCCATCGATCATTACCATCACCATCACCATCATCATCAAGATGGGGGTCTCACCATTCTGCTTAGGCTGGTTTTGAACTCCTAGGCTCAAGCAATCCTCTTGCCTTAGGCTCCTGAGTAGCTGGGACTACAGGCACATGCCACCATGCCTGGCTTTTATTCTTGTATTTTCAAGTAGCTACATTAAATTTTATACATCTCACAACTGCCTTAGCGTTTTGCCTCTGTATGATATATTATCACCTTCCCCTAAGTTATTCTCATTATTATGAGAGTGAGAAACTGTCTACAAACTTCAGAGCAAAATGAATCAAATGGTGATAGAAATGAAGGTAAGAAAGACAAAAATATAAGAGCTGGG